CCACAACCACAAGCCAGAGCTGTCGCCCCGACAGGAGCTCCGGCCTCGCACCACCCGCTCCATCTTCCAGCAAAAGACTCCAGCCAGCACTGCTGCTGAAGCAGCCCCTATTTCCCCACCAAAAGAGCCCATCACGTTCAAGACACGCTCAGCCTTCCCGAGCCGCAGCAGCTACGTGGAGTACGTGCAGGCAAACCTCACGTGCGGCATGCGAGTGCGCATGCTGGAGGACTATGAGCAGGTCAGCGCGGGTGACGAGGGCGAATTCCGCCGCAGCAACGACGGCATGCCACCCGTGCAGGTACCCTCTGCTGGGGGCCAGGGGCTACCAAGTGGCCTGTCTGCTCTGTTGGCTTACAGGCTGTTGTGCAGCCTTCCGTGGGGACAGTGGGGTTAGTCTTCCCTTTCCTCAGCTGGGCCTCTGTTGGGCTTTTCTCTTCAGGTGTACTGGCAGGCCCTGGGCTGTACATACTGGGTTCACTGGCACATGGTTGAGATGATTGGCCCTTCAGAGCAAAAGGAACTTGAGGGCCAGGAGAAGGTGAACAACCTGACACAAAAACGCAGACTGAGAGCAGGTGAGCAGCCTATCAGTCTCCTTCCAGCATGTTCCCCCTCTCCCACTTCCCCTCCCTTCCCCCCAGCAGGCTGGGGATCTCTTCTACCCAGACACTCCACGAGTTCTTTCCTTGGGGAATGTAGAGTGTACAAAAGAGGATGGGGGAATTGGCAGAGCTGACAGTGCCTTTCCTTGCTCTGCCCTCCTGAAGTTGCACAGCCATTTTTGTGCAAGCCCTTGGGAGGTCTGTACTCCCTGCCTTACCTGGGGCAGCCGCCAACCAAGGCTGCAGAGGCCCTGAGCCGTGCCGAGTGGTGGGAGCTGCTCTTCTTTGTGAAGAAGCTGGAAGCACAGGAGCAGAAAGAGATCATCTTTCTCATCCAGCATGACCAGGGAGAGCAGGTATGGGCCAGTGCCTGCAGTGGGGAAACGGGAGGGAGAGAGTGAGGGAGAACATTAGGGAAAG